GTACCCCGGTGACAGTCTTCCTCTGACGTAGCCGCCAGCAGCAAATCATCTACGTACTGGAGTAGAATCAGAGAGGGGTGCTGGACCCGAAAAGCGGCTAGATCCCGGTGCAGTGCCTCGTCAAAGAGAGTGGGGCTGTTAAACCCTTGGGGTAGCCTTGTCCAGGTCAGCTGACTGGAGATTCCCCGAGCTGGGTCCCTCCATTCAAAGGCAAATAACAACTGGCTGTTGGGGTGTAGCCTCAGGCAAAAGAAGGCATCCTTGAGGTCCAGGACCGTATACCAGTCGTGGGTAGGCGATAGCCCACTAAGGAGGTTGTAGGGGTTGGGCACTGTGGGGTGTAGATCTTCAACCCGTTTGTTAACCTCTCGGAGGTCCTGGACTGTCCTGTAGTCCCCCGTTCCTGGCTTTTTGACGGGTAATAGAGGGGTGTTCCAGGGGGACTTACAGGGTACGAGGATCCCTTGATCCAACAGTCTATTGATGTGAGGAGCTATGCCTTCTCTGGCTTCCTTGGACATTGGGTACTGCTTCACGGCGATTGGGATGGCGTCCGCTTTCAGAGACACAATTATGGGTGGCTGGCTATCGGCGAGACCCATGCCCCCCGGTCTCTGCCCATGCTTGGGGGTACTTGAGTAGCCATTCCTCCATATCGGTTGGGGCCTTTTTATCTTGTTCATGTAGTCTATATTCATCTTCTATAGACAAGGTAAGCACATGCAAGGGCTTTCCCGATGGGTCAGTAATGTTAGCCCCAGTCTTTTCAAAATGTATCTGAGCCTTTAATAAGTCCCTTCCCAGCAACGGGTATGTTACCTTGCCGGTCACTAGTTGTACTTGCCGGTTGGTGGTCCAGTGGTAGGTCTTCCCTCCCGTGGCTCCCTGGACCCAGGCCGTGCGGCTGCTCAATGTGCCAGGGGACCTGGTCAAAACGGAGTGCTGCGTCCCTGTATCTACCAGGAAGGTCACAGGATGCCCCCCTACATGTAGGGTTAGCCGCGGCTCAAGGGGGGGCTCCTGGCCTTGACCCCCTAGTCTTCTAGATTTAGGAGAGAAGTTGAGGCCTGGGGTCTTGTATTTCTGTTCCGATTTTGCTTCTTTGGGCACTCTCGTGCCCAATGTCCCCGTTCTTTGCAATAGGCACACTGATCTCTATCTACCCTGGGTCCTCTTCGATCTCTTCCCTGTCTATCCTGCCGCTGTCTCTGTCCTGACACTACAGTGGCCATCAACCGTGAGAGCTCTCTCTGTCTCCTTTTATCCCTGGCATTTTCTCTCTCTTCCATCTCCTTTCGCTGCCTTTCCTCCCTTTCAATGTTTTCTCTTCTCCAACGCTCTTCCCTCTCCTCCTGGCTCTCTCTATTATTGAATATCTTCTCTGCCTCCTTCAGCAAATCAGGGACCGTATACCTCTGTAAATTATCCAGCCTCTGTAATTTATTATGGATGTCTGGGGCGGACTGCCAGATAAATGCCATGGCGAGACCAGTGGCTTGTCCTGGGTCCTCTGAATTGTAAGGCGTATACATGCGGTACGCCTCCTTCAATCTCTCGAGGAACGCGGTGGGCGTTTCCTCTGCTTGCTGTAAAACCTGTTTTACCTGAGCCAAATTGGTGGGGCGCCGAGCTGCCCCCTGGAGACCCGCTATAAGCAACTGGCAATAGAGACGCAGATGGGTCTACTACCTGCCTCAGTAGTAAAGTCCCATTCCGGCCTGGTCAAGGGAAAGGCCGCATCAATCTCATTAGGGAGCTGGGTAGGTTGTCCATCCGCTCCCCTCACATTCTTCCGGGCTTCGAGGAGGACCCGCTGTTTCTCCTCAGTGGTCAGGAGCACCTGTAAAAGCTGTTGGCAATCATCCCAGGTGGGTTGATGAGTCACTAGGACTGATTCTAAAAGAGAGATTAATTGCAAGGGATCTTTAGAAAAAGGAGGATTATTGTTCTTCCAATTATAGAGATCTGAGGCGGAGAACGGCCAATACTGCAGCTGGCCGTCCGGGCCGGTACGCAGGGGCAGGGCGGTGGAGTCTGCAGGGGCCTGTTCTCGTCGCCCCCTGAGGCGGCTTGCCATAGGTGAGGGGGCCGCCTCATCAGTCGCAGCAGGTCATTCGGCAAGCACGGCTTCCGCCTCATCAGCCGCCGCCTGGGGTGCCTCTTGATATGGAGGCGGCTCAGACAGGAGATCCATAAGTAGAGTCTCTTCTCCTGCAGGCAGAACCTTAGGTTTGGAAATGGGGGGCGCCTTAGGAGAGGCTTGCATAAGAGCTGGGTATAGGTCGGATCGGGAGGGGGTAGGGGCTGGGAGTGGGGTCAGGGGAAGGGGAAGAGAAGGTGCGGATGGTTTGGCAGACTTGGGGGAAAGAGGGGCCATTCCAGAGAGAAACGGCTTGACCCATGCAGGCGGTTTCTGAACCAGAGCCTCCCAGGTGATGATATAGTCCACCTGGTCAGGATGTCCATGCGGCCCTGGATCCATGACTTTTTCTTTTACCTGCCTAATGAGGTCTAGGCTAAATGTGCCATCCCGCAGCCATCCGACATTGAAGGTGGGCCATTCGGAGGCACAGAAAGCTACCCATTTCTTTTTGTGCACATCAGCAGATTGGTTATGTGCATATTCCTGAATCTCTTTCCAGTGTTCGAGACTGAGGGACAAAGGGGTGGTAATCGTTTGTCCCATTTCTTCTGAGAGGATAAAGACGCAAATACCGGTTACAAGGAACAAACACAGAGACAGACAAAGAAATCGCACGGCGTGGCTCCGGCGCAAAGCCGAAAGCAAACTTTCAGATGGGAGGGTAACCTGTCTCTCTTCCTCCCTCAGTAGGACTGAAAATCCCTCTCCTTGAGGGACAGCCCCGAACAGAACGGAAAAATGCCTGGGCATAGATCCGTGAGAGCCAAAAATCAGACGCTCCTGGGACGTCTCCCGGAGCCACGGTCGGGGTTGGGGGGGTGGGGGGGTTATGAACCCGTCGGTTCCTCCCCTACCGCCAGTTACAGATGTACACAGCTGAGTCCTACAGACGCAGGCACGGTTTCAGAGACACAAACGACCGGGCAGGCAGACACTGGAAGACACTAGACGACACCAGACAAACAGCGGATCCGCACAGTCAGCTTACCTCCCAGTGGTGGGTCGGTGGTCCCTGGGCAGGGGTCTCGATCCCGGACGAGCCCCCAAATGAAAGACCCCACAATTGGGATACTTTCAATCTGAGAGACCCTCCCCAAGGATCAGCGAGGCCACACGTATGGATGCAATCAGCAAGAGGTTTTATTGATCACGCACGGGTACCCAGGCGTCTTGGTCTCGGGAACCAAGCGCGCCCAGATGGGGAACAGGGACGCCTTATATAGCAAAAAGCGCGGGTACAGAAGCAGATGCATGGTTACAGGATTTCCATTGGTCAATTCAAATGAGGCGAGAGGTTAGACTGAGGTTACCTGGCTTGAATACAAGGAAGTTGCGGGTGGCTGACTTGGCTTTATCTTGGGCACATTTTGGTTGGGAAATTCCGGGTAATCTCCATCCCTAGTTCCAGATGGCCCACCACAGATATCCTGTTTGTCAAGCCCTCGAGGCGCCAGGGGCCCTCGACCTTAGCATGAACTCAGACGGTTCCTGGCAGGCTATACCGGGAAGGGGTCTTTCAATGTAAGGCTGTACAAGCATGTGTATGTGCCTTCACATATATGGGGGGATTGCCAAACTAGAAGGGGATCGTGAAAGGGAAGGGGGAGGCGGTCAAGGAGGCAGGTGGGACAGGGCACATGGATGAAACAGCCGGGTTAGGAAAGAGAACCGAGCAGCTAGAGGAGGAGCAGGCGTATGGGACAGAGCAGTGAGGGAGAAGGCTGAAGGACAGCAAGACCCAACGGCACGGGCTGCAGAGCGCTCACTGGTGAGGCCACACACGACGCTGCTCTGGCAGAGGAGGTGGGGACGGGGTCCTTAGACCCCCAGCACCCACGCTGGGCACCTGACAACCCCGTAACCCCACCTCCAGGGAATCTGACTCCCACTTCTGGCCTCTGTGGGTGCGTTGCGTATGTGGTAAGCAGCGTATGTGATGCGCGGGCACAAGCCGAAAGAAGAGATCAGATCCCCCGGAAGTAAAAGTTACAGACTCGTGAGCAGCCAATGTGGGTGCTCTGCAAAAGCCGACAGGTGCCATCTCTTCGGTCCCTAAAATAATCTTTACAAAAAGAAAAGGTGCTTGGGATGAGGGTCAGGGGGATAGCCGCTCTCAAGCACGCAGGAGCCCTGAGTTCGATCCCCGGAACTTAGAAAGCAAACCAGCCCTGCACCCCCGGCATAATGGCACATATGCACAAAGACACTAGACAGAAGCCATTACTCTGTGCTCTGACTTGTTTATCTATCTGTTTATTTATTGGTTCTTTCGACACAGGGTTTCTCTGGGTAGCTCTGTAGACCAGGCTGGCCTCGAGCTCACACAGAGATCTGCCAGCCTCTGCCTCTGAAGTGCCAGGATCAAAGGCGCGCGCCACCACTGCCCGACCCTAATTTCTTTCATTTAAAACAAACAAAAATCTGTGATATGGGAAGAATTACGGGGGGGTGATGCGTCACCCGCAGACAGGGCCCTTGGGGAGGCCAGAAGGGGTCAGGAGCTGCAGATACAGACGGTTGCCAGGGGGCCATGTGCGTCCGGGGAATTATAAATGCACGCGCGTGCTCGGGTCTTCTGTAAGAGTGACCAATGCGCTTACCCACAGCGCTGTCTCTCCAGCCCCTCACACTTAGCATTTCTTGGTCAGTTCCCTGAATTATCCTAGTGCACAGTGTGGGATTTGATTCATTTGGCTGGTGGGTTGCTATGAAACTGTTCTCATGCTGCATACCCTGTCTCCTCTACAGTCCACACGCAGGCGCACGCAGGCACACACAGGCACTGCACTCATCCCCCCACCCAGTAGCTGGGTCCTCACAGTCAGTACCTTACACTAAATCCTGATTCCCACCTCAGGGTCGCATTCGCTGCAGTATTCGTACATGGCTGTGACTAAGCCGGGTCCAGGAATCCCTGAATTTTCTGCCACTGGCTCCATAGACGACCAGCCCTTCATCCGCTTTAACAGCGAGAGCATGAAGGCAGAGCCTGCTGTTGACTGGCTGAGGGAAGATCCAGGGTACTTTGCTGAAGAGACCCAGGTCTTCACCAATCGGATGAAGATTTTCCAGTTGAGCCTGAGAAACATACAGCAGTACTACAACAACTCTGGGGCCCGGAGTCAGAGAGGGGCAGACGGCGCCCGCCAGCAAGCAGGTATGTGCTCGGAGAAGGTGTTGGGACACAACTGACCTATCACCTCATCTCATCCCCAGAGGCTGGAGGCCCTCAGTGTCCTGACAGACTGATCATCCCTGGAGAACAGGTTGGCTCAGTCTGCTCCCGGAGCTCAGGGTCTGTGTGACAGACATCCATCTGTCTGGTGTTAGTCCGAGTCACAGATGTCCAACCTCGCGAACAGCTCAGAGCCATTTGTCTTCAAAGCACTTACAGCTTCCACGGGGGAAGCTGGGGACCCTCGTGACTCCAAGCCAGGGGGCCTTGGTTATGGCTGACTTTGGAATTCACTAGAGAATTCTTCAGCATGAAAGCTTCTTGTTTTCTTGCTGGTCAGTGGCTGTTTCGGTTCAGCTTGGGATTTTGTTTGTTTTCCTTTTTTTTTTTTTTTTTTTTGGAGACAGGGACTCAGGGAGCCCAAGCTGGCCTCTAATTCACTACGTAGCTGAGGATGACCCGCCCGCACCTCCCCCACCCCACAAGTCAGTGCTTGTGTTCTCTAGAACCCCACGGAGAAATATACGGAGCATAGTGCGTCCTTTACCAGCATGCTCCTGTCCCTGGTTATGCTTGGGCCCGGGGACTGCTACCTCAGAGTCCTGTGGGGTTATGCCCCATGTGCACAAGGTGAAGAGAGTTGCAGAGAATGAATGACCTGCGTAACGACACAGCAAAACCTAAGTCCTACCACCCTGGCTCTTTTCCTAAACCCCAAGCAGCCTGGCCCCCGACAGCACTTAAAGGCATTATCAGTGGTCAGACTACATGAGCTAGAGGGTGAACGCCCTCTAAGGAGAACGCAAGGAATCCCGTGGGCAGGAACAGGAACCGTTATGGAGGCTTTTCTTGCCCCGCCAAGTCCCTGCTAACCCTCCCACCAGCCCCCAAATGAACACACGAAGACTTACGTTAATTATTAAACCGTTGGCCGATGCCCAGGGCTTTTTAGTGGCTAGCTCCGTCTTAATCATTAACCCACTGTTATGTACATATGTACATATTTTTCACGTGGTCTTGGCTTACCGGAGGAATGCCAGGACCTGTTGTTACTTCTTTGGCGGCTACGTGCCCTTGCCACGCCTACCATTCCCAGAACTCTCCTGGCCTCCTAGTTCCACCGATCACCCATTGGCCAAACAGTGTCTTATCCATCAACCAGTAAGAGAAACATATATACGGAAGGACGTCCCCCATCAAGGGACCATAATGGAGAGGTTTGGGAGATACATCTGCGGGCACTGACATGCTTGTCCTGGGGGGGGGTTCCTAGGCCCTCACACTCTCCAGTTCACATACGGCTGTGAGTTGCGAGATGACAGAAGTACCACGGGGCATTGGCAGTATGGCTACGATGGCAGGGACTACCTGACCTTGGATTTGGACTCCATGCAATATATAGCAGCCACATTCATTGCGGGCTACACCAAGAGGAAGTGGGAATACAGCGAGTACTGGCTGGAGAAAGACAGCAGCTATCTGAAGGAAGAATGCATACTTTGGCTGGGAAACTACTTGGCCCTGGGAGGAGACAACCTCATCCGAACAGGTAAACACCCCATCCTGGCCCCAGCCCTCCTCCGTGTGGCCGGCAGGGTAGAGAGCTCACTCTCCAGCTGGTGGAGAGCGCCTGTGGCACCGCCACTGGATCACGGGGATGGATGTAGGTGGGTCCGTCTGGGCGTGGCCAATGTGCTAGGGGCGGGGCCAATGTGTTAGGGGCGGGGCCAATGTGCTGGGGTAGCTTCCCACAAGCAGATGTGCACATTTTTTCAGTCTCCTGGACTGTGGTCACCTACCGCCACCCCTCTACTCTCTAAATGTATCACAAAGGTCCTCGGGGCTGTCTCCCACGTCTGCCTTCTCCCCCCCCCCCTGCTGAGGACGTGACGCTGTGGCCACCACCAGCAGCTATCTATCTGTTCACTGTAGACCCTCCAAAGACGCATGTGACCCACCACCCCAGACCTGATGGTAAAGCCACCCTGAGGTGCTGGGCCCTGGGGTTCTACCCTGCTGACATCACCCTGACCTGGAAGAAGGATGAGGAGGAACTGACCCAGGACATGGAGATGGTGGAGACCAGACCTGCAGGGGATGGAACCTTCCAGAAGTGGGCAGCTGTGGAGGTGCCTATGGGAGAGGAGCAGAAATACACATGCCATGTGCACCATGAGGGACTGCCTGAGCCCCTCACCCTGAGATGGGGTAAGGAGGGAGTGGGTGCAGAGCTGGGGTCAGGGAAAGATGGAGCCTTCTGCAGAGCCTGAGTGGGGTCAGGATTCTTCATCTTTCTTTTCCCTTCTGTTACCCTGGTCACAGAAGAGTGTGATAGGAGCAGATGTGGACATGCAGTGTCCTGGAGTGTCCCTGTCCCTGTGCTCATTGCTGTTTTCATAGTAGCTGCGTTTCTAGTTGGAGTTGCCTGCTACAGGTTTAAGGTAGGAAAAGGAGGTCTGGGTGCCCTATGGTGAAAGGGGGGCGGTCAAGAGTTAAGTTGTACTAGGCAGTGGTGGCGCATACCTTTCATCCCAGCACTCGGGAGGCAGAGGCAGGTGGATCTCTGTGAGTTCCAGGACAGCTAGGGCTACCCAGAGAGAAACCCTGTCTCGAAAAACTAAAACACACACACACACACACACACACACACACACACACACACACACACACACACGGGCATTTTTAGATACTGGCAAGGTAGACAATGTACAGGTTTTAACCACTGGGGCATCTTTTCAGTACAAAAGTGACTCTAACCATACCTCCTGCCCCTCGTCAGTTCTAGAGCTCTGAAGTTTAAATCCAGCTTTGTCTGCTTCATCTTGTAACAACTGGGAACAGGGTTAGGGTCCTTCGCAAGAGCGAGTGCAAACTCTTAACTGCAGAGCCATCTCCCCGCCCCTAAAAAGCTCCATTCTCCGCTCATTGACTTTTGTGTTGATAGGTATTACAAACTCTGGCATCTCATCACATGTTCTGCAAGCTATAAGAAACAACCTTGAGCTGGGCGTTGATGGCGCACACCTTTAATCCAAGCACTCGGGAGGCAGAGGCAGGCGCATCTCTGTGAGTCCGAGGCCGGGCTGGCCCGACAACCTCCAAGACAATACGGAGAAACCCTGTCTCGTGAAACCAATAGCCAATTTTAACGAGCGGCTAGGCCCAAAGGACACAGTTTTTACTGGAGAGGACATGATCTCCCAAGGAAGCACACTCTCTTGGGAGATGGACAGACCTGCAGCAAGCCACGGAGCCACAGGAGAAGCCTGACAGGCGGCTTGATAGACCATCTGCCTTGGGGAGAGCTAGACCCCCAGTCGGAAGAGCGAAAGAGCACAGCAGGGCTGGTGACACGACCCGGATTCCTCATGTCCGGGTTGTAATCACTGTGCAAGGAGTTTGCTATTAATAGTAGGTGACTCAGACTTCCTCCTTTTGTCCTTGGCTGGAGAGAGACCCTGTCCTCCGTCGTCGAAGCCAATGGTTTAGTGTGTTCTCCCCTGTGAGCCCCCTCTCTCAAACTCCGGCTTGCCTGCCTTTTCTGAAGCACCTCTATATTTGGCTGGCCCAGGATGCCCTCCCCGTCTTCACAGCCAGAATCCCACCTGCAAATCCTAGTTGCCATGAAAAGTAACATGTGCTGGGTCGTTCTGTGTTAACTTGACACACACAGGCTGGAGTCATCTGAGAGGAGGGGCCCTCGACAGAAAAGATGCCTCCTTAAGATCAGGCTGGAGACAAGCTTGTAGGGCATTGTGGGGACAACAGACCTTGGCCGGAAACCCACTCCCCCATCAGCCTGGGAGCAGGCAGCTATAAGACAATGTTTACTAAAAACAATACTGTGCCCAGAGCAATAAGTTCCTGATAAGACCTCGCCCACAGGAACCCCTGACCTCTACCTTTTCCAATGACTAATCGTCTCTTCCTGACCACCCCCCCCACCTCCACCACTGGTGTCAGGTCATAACCAGCCAGGGGTAAGAAAGGGGGCTAAAGCTTTTCTTGGGCGGAAGCTTTTTATTTTTTGGTTTTTCGAGACAGGGTTTCTCTGTATTGTTTTGGAGGCTGTCCTGGAACTAGCTCTGTAGACCAGGCTGGCCTGGTCCTGCCCGGTGTGTCTGCACTCACTGCTTTTGAAGATAAACTGTTACCTGCAACTGTGGGTTAAGTAAACCCCATTCCCACCAAACCATACTGCAATGGGGGTTCTTCTGTATATATGTTTCTCTTACTGGTTGGCCAATAGCCAGGCAGGAAGTATAGGTGGGGCTACCAGATGAGAATTCTGGGTAGAGGATGCAGACAGGAGCGGAGAGACACCTTAGCTACCAGGAAGAGAGGACGCGCCGGGAGTTCTTCGGTAAGATAAGGCCATGTAGAAGTTCATAGATTAGTAGTTACGGGTTAATAATGAAGAGAGAGCTAGCCTGTCAGGAGCCTGAGCCATCGGCCAGTTTTATAATTAACATAAGCCTCATTTGGGGCCAATTGGTTGCAGGGCTAGGAGGGAGAGAAACTCAGTCTGCAATAGTGATCCTAAGACAAACATGCTCAGCCTGCAGAGATCAGATTGGGGACATCTTCTGCCCACGAAACAGCATGGGGGGAGGGAGACTTTGCGGCTATCTTTGACTCTCTTAGTCACAGACGAGAAATGACTAATGGGGGGGGGGCTTGGTGGTGGTGAGACCTTGGTGGTGAAAGCAGGCTTATCACACCGGTGCACACGAGCCCACTTGTGAGGGACATCAAGAAACTCTGCCTACACCTGTGACTCTGAGCAAAGCCGTGCAGTGTGGAATTCCCCGGAGCTTGGGGTCACAGACAGCACAGGAAGGAATGACAAGTTGAGGATGTGAGTGCGGCATGCTCTTTACGTGGTATACGGTAAGCACACAGGCCGGAGGATAAAGAACGGAAACTAATAAAAATCCTTTTAACTGCATCTACGTTTATCTATTGTGTGTGCATACATCAGGGGCCAGAGGACAACCTGCAGGAGTCTTGTTCTTGATGTGAGTTTCTCACAAGCAGGCTGTGAGCACACACGGGCACCCGCTCTGCACCCCAGTGCCTAGGGCGTGGTTCTGAAGCTCGGGGCCAGCCTCCGTTTCCCTAGTCTGTTGCCACGCCTGCTGTTCTACACCACACCCTGGCTCCTGCGACTGCTGCTGGGCCGCACAGGCTGGGCAGCTGTAGGTGGGAACCTGAGCGGCGGGAAGGGCTGAAGTGAACCTTTTCCCTCCGGTGGGTTTCCGGCAGCTGTCTTATTCACAGTGACGTGAGGCAAAGCGCAAGAAGGGTAACGTGGACGGGGACCCCCCCCTACAAAAGTCATCACTGTCACGGATCACATTCGGAGAGTGAAGGAAAACTTCTAACACACGGTACAGACAGGAGGCCAGAGAGATGGCTCAGCAGTTAAGAGAGCTTACTGCTCTTCCGGACGATGGGCGTTCAGTTCCCAGCTCCCAAGTAGGATGGCTCACAACCACCTGTAATCCAGCTCCAGGGGATCTCACTGTCCTCTTCTGGCTTCCTCAGGCACCCGCACAAGGAGTCTGTACACTAGTGGCATGCATGTACACACACACACACACACACACAAATGGGGGCATAATAAAACTCATTCTTTTTTTGTTTTGGTATTTTTGAGACAGGGTTTCTCTGTGCAGTCCTGGCTCTCCTAGAACTAACTCCATAGACCAGGCTGGTCTCTTGAACTTCTACAGATCTGCCTGCCTCTACCTCCCAAGTGCTGGGATTAAAGGCTCGTGCCATCACCGGCTGGCATAAAACTCATTCTTGAGTTAAAAATAACCGGCCAGGCAGTGGTGGTGCACACTTTTAATCCCAGTACTTGGCAGGCGGATCTCTGTGAGTTCCAGGACAGCCTGGTCTACAGAGTGAGTTCCAGGATGGCCAGGATACACAGAGAAACCCTGTCTCAAAAAAAGCAAAACAAAACTGCAAAGTGACATCACTGAACATGACCTGCAAAGAGATAATATAGACAAAGAATCCCACCAGCATAGAGAGCAGCAAAGCGGGGTGAGATTCTGAGCAGCAGGTTTTGAGTATTTACTGCTGGGTCATTCTTGATCTAGTAAGCTGGGTAGGGGTAGGACTGCATTCCTAAAAACCTATCTCCCAGGAGGCTGACGAAGAAAGATGACAGTTTCCTAGGCCACCCTGGGCTACACGGTGAATAAGTGATATTTCTGGCAGAAATATCTACTTAAGACAGGAAGTGAGCCGGGCGGTGGTGGCGCATGCCTTTAGTCCCAGCACTCGGGAGGCAGAGGCAGGCGGATCTCTGTGAGTTCGAGGCCAGCCTGGTCTACAGAGCGAGTTCCAGGACAGCCTCCAAAGCCACAGAGAAACCCTGTCTCCAAAAAAAACAAAACAAAACAAAAAGACAGGAAGTGAGACAAAATGTGTATTAATCCTGTGAAGACAAATCCAAAGAAAGAACCAAAAGCAAGCCACCAGCTGTAAAAGGATGGTTGCCACTCTTGGCAGGCTGGACTGAAGAGTGACATAACCTGCTCTGCCTTCGGGAGGAGAGGGCGGGGCCCTGAAGCTTGTGACACGCCCACTGATACTCAACCTCCTGTCAGAGGCTGCCCTCTAGTGGTCGTTTTTTGTAAATTAAGACTGTGTGTGTGTGTGTGTGTGTGTGTGTGTGTGTGTGTGTGTGTGTGTGTGTGTGTGTGTGTGTGTGTGTGTGTGTGTGTGTTTCTCTGTGTCCTGGAACTCGCTCTGCAGACCGGGATGGCCTTGAAATTTCTGAGATCCGCCTGCCTCTGCCTCCAGTGCTGGGATTAATGGCGTGCACCGCCACTCCCAGCTTGCACTCTGATTCTTTCAACCTGTCACTGACCTTTACAATCTGATCTTTACAAGTCCCTTGACCACCCTGGGACAGTCAGATACACTTCGTAAGTTCTGTCCCGCTGGGGAGGTTTCCCTTCACCAACCTCAGAGTTGTCAATTTTCACATCACCGTCTAGGTATCACAGCCAAAACCCGAGACAATTTAGTTAAGCGGCTCAGCCGGGGCAGGTGTGCAGGGTAACACATCACAGCCCGTATCTAAGATGGGCGCGGCGTTGATGAGCTCAACCGGGGCAGGTCTACCTTGTCCTCAATGCCCTTGGTAGCGGTTCCCCTGCATGCTTCCCAGACTCTAGTTACTCAGACCACAGATGACTGGAGGGCGCCGTGACTCCACCTCCCCATGTCCCAATGCCAAGGACAGTGTACAGCGGCAGCGCCAGACAGCCGCCCAGATTTGTCAGCCTGCGCCACAGCCAGGACCTCAATGGCTCCCCCTAGTGGCACAAAATTAGAGAGGTGCCATCCCTCAACCCCGAAAACCCCATCAGGGTCAGCTGCAAAGCCAATGCGTGCAGAGCGCTGCGCCACCGAAAAACGGAGGACGTGCGGATCCCGCGCTGTCCCAGCTCTCTGAAAACCAGGTGGAGAGAAAGTGTCACCAGGGCGGGAGCGACCAAGACGTCCCAAGCAGTGACCGGGTTTACCAGCCGCCCTGCCTATCGGGGCATCCAACGAGAAAACACTCCGGGCTGCTGTAACTGCACCCCGGTGCATGCCAGGGCCTGGCTTCTATCAACACATGGGAGCGGGGTGGGGGGGGGGACCTAAGAACTCTTCTTAAAAGCGGATGGCGCCAGCCGGGCGTTGGTGGCGCAGGCCTTTAATCCCAGCACTCGGGAGGCAGAGGCAGGCGGATCTCTGTGAGTTCGAGGCCAGGCTGGACCGACAGCCTCCGAAACAGAGAAACCCTGTCTCGTAAAACCAAAAAAAAAAAAAAAAAAAAAAAAAAAAAGCGGATGGCGCCACCTAGAGGTGATGGGCGTGGCGGGAGAGGGGGCTGGTTCCTCTCCAACCAGAGACCTCAGAAGAGCAAAATCCTGCCGCTTTTTAGTGTGGCTGTCTCCTTCCCAGCGCTCCACCCCGTTCTCTGTAAAAAAAAAAAAAAAAAAAAAAAAAACTTTCCATCTGCCGGGCAGTGGTGGCGCACACCTTTAATCCCAGCACTCGGGAGGCAGAGACAGGCGGATCTCTGTGAGTTCCAGGCCAGCCTGGTCTACAGAGCGCGTTCCAGGACAGCCTCCAAAACAATTCAGAGAAACCCTGTCTCAAAAAACAAACAAACAAACAAAACTTTCCATGTACTTTCGGTATCACCCTGGCAGCAAAGAGAAGTGAGTTGGGGGGGCGGGGGATCCATTACAGTTACCTCCTGTAAAGCAGGGTGTTACTAAACAGTTAATGCGCCCAGGAAGCTGAGTTTCCTGAACGGAGAGGGAGGGGCAGGCAGCCCAGGCTCTCCTCAGTGGCCGTAGCCTATCAGCGCTTCGGTTTAACGGGCCCGGCCACCCCGCCACTGCTACCCGGGAGAACCCAGGTCTAGCTCTCAGCTGTGTCTGTGGAGTAGCGGGGTAAGGTGATGGGAGGGGCTGCAGGGGTGGCTCAGTGCTTAAGAGCATCGACTGCTCGTCAAGAGGACCCGGATCCAATTGCCAGGACCCACACGGTGGCTCACACGACTATCTCCAACTCCAGTTCCAGCGGATCCAACACCAATGCACATAATTTTTTTAATCAATCAAAAAATAAAAATTAAAAAAGGGGGGGGGAAGGGAGCCTGGCGCCAGCGCTCGGAAGGCAGAGGCAGGCGGATCTCTGTGAGTTCGAGACCAGCCTGGTCTACAGAGCGAGTTCCAGGACAGCCTCCAAAGCCACAGAGAAACCCTGTCTCGAAAAACCAAAAAAGAAAACAAAAAAGTAAAAACAAAAATTCCCTCACTTTTTTAAAAAGATGCCCATCCCCTTCCCTTTTACCCTCCCACTCCTTTTGTTTTGTTTTTTTTTTCCTTTTTTTTTTCCACACGTGGTCTCCTTGGCTGACCCGGAACTCGATCTACGGAGCCCAATGACATCACGCGAGCGGCGAGCGGCCCCTCCGCCTCCCCTCCCGCGCCCCACCCCCCCCGTCCCCACCCCGAGTGCTGGGATTAGAGGAGGGGGCGTCCAGCGTGCCCACCACCGTGCGCACTGGGAGGGGGGCGCCCAGAGGACGGCTGCGTCTTCCCTAGACGGGGTTCCTCCCTGCCCGGGCATGCACCAACTAGGCGACAGCGGCTCGCTAGGCGGCCCGGAAATCGGCTTGCCCCTTCCTCTCAGCTGAGTTTGCAAACAGCAGCCACCACCCCGCCTCCTTTCCACCGATCTCGGCGGATCGAACCCCCCACCCTCACCCCCACCCCACGCCCCAAGTCCCGAGCGACGACACTGCATCCCACACCACCGCGTGCCCTGCTCCAGACGCGCAGGGCAGCAAAGCGGGGCGGGGGTGGGGTGGGGGGACTTAAAACCCAGGCCGGAGACATCGGAGTAAGCACTGGAGAAAAGAGAGCTCCAAGCCGGGAGAGCCCGAGGATCGCCATCCCCCTCCTAACAAGAATCTCTCTCTCCTAACAAGGATCCCTCCTAACGAGGTTGTCAAAAGCCATCTGATAACCGCGATTTCCAAAGAGCAGCAGCTCTCAGGGTTTTTGTTTTTAATGTCGACAGAGACCGAGAACCAGGACAGCGAAGGCTACACACAGAGAGAGAGAAACCCTGTCTCGAAAAGAAACAGCAATAAGAATAAAAGGTTTCCGCTTCGGCTTACCGTCTTAAGATGGCACACGCGGAGGCTGCAAGGGCGAGCGTTCTCTCTGGACTGAACGTAACCCGACGTGGAGCGAAACCCCACCCAGGAGCCCCGACTACCCAGTGACCTACTTCCGGTAGCAGGACTGACTCCCCACCCCCTTGCTGGGCTATAAAGAGAAACCATCAAAATATATGTATTCTTGCCTTCCTCTCCCCTCTCCTCTACTCCCTTTCCTTTTATTTTTTATTTTTTATTTA